AGTGATAAAATTAAAAATCTGAAGAAATATAGCCCGGGACGGCCGTCTGACAAATACACTTAAAACTGGGACGGCCGTCTGAGAAGCAGTCTCTGGTTTTGAGACGGCCGTCCAAGTTTTAGTACAAAATTCGGGACGGCCGTCCGAGATGACGAAAAAGCGCAGTAAAGGAATGCTAATTGCACAAGGAAACTACCTTCTTCCCAAAGTTTTCCACCATATATAAGACCAAGTCAAGCACACAATTGTGGATCCATCTTTTACGCAATTTCAAGAGCAACAAAGCAATAACGAAGACGAAGAATTCGAAGACTCCAAGCATAGAGTTATAGTTTATGATTAATTTTATTTGCGTTTTTACTTTAATCATGAGTAGCTAATTTTCTTATTTCTAGGATTTTATTTGGAACCCTATGTGGGAATTATGAACCCTTTTCTATGATTTTATGCAAGTTTTTATTCCGGATTATTTCTTCTACTTGTTTTATTAAGTGCATGAATTTAATCACCTTATGTACTTTTATGTTATTGTTAATCGCATGAATCGGAAGATCGGGTTAATAATTAGAACTGTGGTAGAAGAGCTTTTGTGGTATGAACATAGGAATATAGTTAATCTCTTAGGTAGCCATTATTGAGATTTGTGCTTAATGTTGTGTTCTAGAATTAATTGCGTAGGAATACATTAATTAAATCTAGAGTATTAGAATCGTAATACACGCGGAAGCGGGTTATGATTAATTTAGCATCTCAGGTTAATAATCCGGGTTTATTACTTGCATAATTGAAGGAATTGGGGGAATAATAATCACATAGGGGGAAGAATAAAATCCTAGGCTCGTTTTCACTGATTAAATCTTCGTTTTACATCGCTTTCTTGTTTTTGCTTGCTTTTTAATTTAGTTTAATTTAGTTAATCTTTTTCAAATTCGACTGTATAGGTTGGGTGGGCTTGATATAATTATTAGGATTTAGCGCATAGGATTAAATAATTAAATATTCTCTGTGGGTTTGATATCCGAACTTAATTGTCCACTATATTATTTGTACGATACGTGCACTTGCGTGTATGTATTTCAACCAACATCTATATATAAATTAACTATTCTCTTGTTGAACTCTTCCCATGTTTTCTAACGAGATATATCTAGTATTGGAGGACTTTGTTTTCTCTAGTTTAAGAATTTTGAAAACTTCCATTAATTATATATATATATATATATATATATATATAGTAAGTATATATATGGGGACCGTCTCCTTTATCTTTATGCAATTTGTATTTTCTTTTTCTGTTGTTTTCTTCCAATGAGCTGCCCGCGTTCTTTTCTTTTTCCTTTTTTTCCCAAGCAGCGTGTGTGCTTCTTTTTTCCTTTTCTTTTAATTATTTCGCGCGAAAACGACGTCGTTTTCTCCTGCCCCCTTTTGTCTTTATCTTTTATTCCTGTCAGAACAATTCATCGATTCATCATCCTCCTTGTCACCGCTATTACTGACTTTCTCCAATAATTCTCAGCCATCTTCGGTTATCTTTTAATCTGCCAACTGCGGTGTTCCGTTTTTTCAAATTTTCAATCTCATCTTCGTTTTGCACCTCTCGCCGCCACCTCCCCCTTCTTGTCTGCCTCCGTCGATCGTACACATGGAGCTGAGATCTTTCAAACAAATCATGTGTCTTGTGTCTTGTGTTTATCTATTTTTTCTTCAGGGAAGTGGATTAATAACTACTCGATCTACAAAATTCTTCCCTTTCTCCTTCTTCCAAATTCATCCAAAACCAATACAGGTGCTGTAGATTTTAAAATTTTTATGACATAAATATGTTTGTTCAGGAAAAAGTTTTGACAGGTACGAAATCAAAAACCTAATTATTGACTTTTATGATGCGATATTATCCAGGGTGATTGGAGTGGTAATATTAGCTTCATATGTTTGTTGTGGAGAAATTATTTAAAAGATATTTTTTTTCATTCTATGATGCAATACTATCCAGGGTGATTGGACTGGTGCAGGATGCCACATCTGTGGGAGGTGAATTTTTGGGCTACTATTAGCTTCATACTAATACTTCACGGGCTATTCATCATAAAAATAAATATTTAATTTGAAAAAGTTCTCGGAATTGTAAGATCAATGTGCAATACAAAGTAAATATATATATATATATATATATATATATATATATATATATATATATATTCCATGTAAATAACAAATTAAGCCAATATAAGTGAAAAAAGCTAAATATCGAAAGTTTAATTTCCGTAGACAAAAGGCGAGTACATCGTTACCATTACCGTTACCGTTGCCATTACTATTACCAATACCAATATCAATACCAATACCAATATCAACACTGTTACCGTTACCGTTACCATTACCATTATCATTGCTATTATCATTACGATAATAATACTGATATAGATACCGACACTCATACCAATACCAATCATTACCATTACAACTACCGTCACCATTATCATTTTCATTGCTAATACTAATACTAATATAGTAATACTAATACTAATATAGTAATACTAATACTAATCTGATAATAATACTATAACTATTAGTAATCCTCAGTGGCGGCACTTCTAAGGGGGAGGGGGGGCAGTTGACCCCCAAGAAAAAAAAAAAAATTTAGCTATTTTGACATTATAGTTTTTGAATATTACTTTTGCCCCCCCAAAGGATTTGTAAATATGTGTCTTAACCCTTAATTTTTTTGTTTATTCTCCATAATTTTATATAAATTATAGATGTATATCATATTTAATATAAAAATATAAAATAAAATGGTTAAAACTTATACTATTTTAAACAAAATTTATGAATATTTACTTATTCGATATTTCATTTTTTTTATATCAATGTCTCTAAAAAATAATATGAGACGGTACCATAAATCCCATTAAGTGCTATATTATTAGAATAATTTAGATTTTTTTGTCATGCTTGAAATATGATAAAATTATATATATATATATATATATATATATATATATATATATGAGTGTGTGTGTGTGTGTGTGTGTGTGTGTGTGTTATTCTAATTAAAAATTCGCAATATAAACCTATTTTTGCAATGTCTTGTGAACCTAAAATTCTGGTTAGCCCCCGAACCCCGAACCCCGAAATTTTAGTTAGCCCCCCCTACTTTCTAATCCTGGTTCCGCCCCTGGTAATCCTAATGCTAATCCTAATCATAACGTTAACGCTAATCCTAATTTTCTTACACTAATGTTAATGCTAATCATAATTCCAATCATATGTACTACACCCAATCATTATTTTAAGGGTTAATGAGTCGTAACCCCTCATTAGCAAAAATATTAGAACTAGGTACCAAACATGTTTTTAATATGGTGCAACCCCCTCCATTTTACATATCCCAATACTATCCTTACATTTTTCTTTTGAACTAGACCCCCCCTCCCTTTAGTATAGGATCGGTCAACCAATTTGTGTGCGCGTTCTCTCTCTCTCTTCTTTAATTTTTTTTAATCATATTTCGATTTTTTTTACTTTTACCTTTTTTTTTGTTTGGAAATATTTACGAAATTGTAGTGAACAACTAAATTAATGAATTTAATGACTTTAGTAGTCAACTATAATATTCTACTAGTTTGCTATAGAATTGTGTCAGTAACTACAAAATAGTGAAAGTTAACTATGAAATTTTAATAGTTAGCTATAAATTGTGATAGTAAGACTTGTCATTTAGTTCAAATAAGTTTTGTCACCAGGGACCTATATGCTAACACCCTAATACTAGAGGGGATTTTCACTAATAGACCCTTCATTTTAATTTCTAAATAGTTTACGGTAAAACTTAAAAGTTATTAAAAAAAAATAACATGTTTCTCGGGTAAAACTTAAAAATTGAAAAAAAAAATAAAATATTTCTCGGGCGGGTCACCCCTAATAGAATGGACTCTTATCTTTCGTCCAACAAATACTATGGTAAGGAACATGCCTCTTCACTGCAAATCGTTATACATGACTAAAACGGAGTCCCCTTATACTAATTGTTGTCCTCAAGGTGAAATTATAGTAATTGTTGTCCTCAAGGTGATAAGTTATACTAATCATAGAAAACCAGCTTATTATCTCCAGGGGCGGTCCCAGGGTCTCGGAGGCCCGAGGCCCTCTTAATTACCAACTTTATTTTGACTTATCAACTCATTCCTCAACCATAATTCCACAACTTCATTTTCAACATATTTTTGCAAGATAATTTACAGTTAAACCTCTATAAATTAATACGGTCGTGACTAGGGAAATTCTATTAATTTAGCGAATTATTAAATTATCGAGTTAATAATTTAACACGTTTTCACCGAGTCGGGACCGAAAGAAAATATTATTTAATCGAGGTTATTAATTTATCGAGGTTCTACTGTATTTAAACCTGAGAGCTCCGTTTGTGATTTTTTTTAATATCCTAACTCAAACTTTTCTATTGCTCATTGTATCGATAGATTAGTACTAACCTAAAATTTATCGAGGTTCTACTGTATTTAAACCTAAGAGCTCCGTTTGTGATTTTTTTTAATATCCTAACTCAAACTTTTCTATTGCTCATTGTATCAAGTAAAAAAAAGTATAGGATTAGAAATAAAAGAATCAAGATAATCACTTATAAACTTAATTAATTCTTAGCTTGTCATTCAACAAAGAAGAAAAGAAAAAAGGAGGGAAATTAAAAATAGAATTAGAAAGAAAAAAGAGGGAAATTTTGAGAAATTAAAAAAAAAAAAAAAAAAAAAAAAAGAAAAAAAAGAGGGAAATTAAAAAGAAAAAAAAAAGAGGGAAATTAAAAATAAAATTAAACAAAACAAAGAGAGAGGGAATGGTAAGCTTTTAACCGTTAGGTCACGGACTCGAACACGCGACATACAAAAATCTATGAGTAATACTTAGCCAACTATGTTAAACAGAATTCTTAGAAAAATTTTGTAGCCTAGTAAATATATACGCATTTCAAAAAATTGGAGGCCCTAAATGTTTTCGATTTTTCGGAGGCCCAAGGCGACGGCCTTGCTCGCCTTGGGCTTGGGCCGGCCCTGATTATCTCCCACCCTCACAACAATTACATGGCTCCACAATGCTCCCACAGGCTTAGACACTCCTAAAAAAGGTCCGATACGCGTCAACCAAGACCAGTGCTTTCCCTGCTCCCCCAAACCGGTCAACTCCCATCTTTCGAACAAGTAGTTTTCTTCCGAAACTTGATTACGCGGGTACACGAATAGGTCAAGCGAGCTGCTCTCCTTGGCAAAAATCTTAATCTTCTTTTCACTGCTGTTTATTCGAATGGGAAGGGGCGTTCTCACAACGACCTCTTTCTGCATGTCGAAAGAGAGTACGAGACTCTGCGTAATATCCAGCCAATGAGCACACGAACCATCCTTGTATGACCCAATTGCCTTCTTGACAAAAGAAGGTGATGTGGCCGCGGCAGCAGCATCATCATCGAGTTGTCTCCATGTTTTCGTGCTCGGGGAGTATATGTCCACGCGGATTCCGTTTATAAGTCCTCTATCGATCCGACAATAATAAGACAAAAGTTGCACTAGTTTGATTTCGTTGGTAACGGAATCTAGACCTAATCCCATGCTTCTTTTGCTGATAAATCTGATACTGTCGCCGTCGGAAATTGGATAGCTCGGGAGAGTCTCGATTGTTCGGTCACAAGGGTTGCATAGGGTGATTTCTTGAATCTTCCTGTGGGTCCCGTAGATGCAGATGAAACCATTAAACGGCCCTACGATTTTGTCTATGGGACGACTATGCGTCTTCGTGAACGACGGTTGATAATTCAATAAATGTTTCGTCTACAGTTGTCAATTGTGACGACGGTGATACGCCGAACATGGCCAACGATAGTTTCCACTTTTCGGTGGTTGAATCGAAGGCGAGGAGAGCAAAGAAGTTGTTTTTTTTGCCGTAATTGTTGAGGTGCGATTTCGCGAAACTTGGGGAAGAGATTATATTGTTCCATGATTTGGATACGGTCTTGAAGCGGATCAGAATCTGCACAGGGAAGCAGATCATGATTTGTTCGTCAGGAAAGTCTGTCGTCGTAGTGTCATCACCTTTCTCGGTCCCTAGTTTTATCTGTTTATTGCTTCCCATCTCTTTCTCTGTTGAGAGGGAGAGAGCCTCTTTCTCAGAGACGTAGGGAGTGCACAAATAATTGTGCGCCCGTGTATATATATATATATATATATATATATATATATATATATATTGGACTTCTTTTTCTTGTTGAACTCTTCCCAAGTTTTCTAGAGAGAGATACTTGTTTCCTTGTTGAACTATTCCCATGTTTTCTAACGACATATATATTATATAGGGTCAGATCCTGTGTTCTAAACTTTTATGAGATACCCCCTTCAAATTGCGACACGTGTCCCAGCAAAAAAACCTATTTTTTCTTCATTTATGTATTGTCGCAAATACCCTTTTTACAATTATTATTTTAAAAAAATCAGCAATTATAAATTATTAATGAAATGTCAATTTTACCCTCTCTATTTTAATGCAATTTTAAATATATATTTATTGCTGAATTAAAATTTATAAAAAATCATTAAACCACCCATCCAAAATTGCATCAACCTGAATTTGAACCTGTGACCATCTGAAAACATACAAAAATACTTACCATTAAGACACAACACATAATTGACAATAAACTAACAATATGGATATATATCACAAAGCTACAATTTATAATGATTATAAAACTTATATAAATAATGTTAAATAAATTATTAATTCTCATATAATTATTATTATTACATATTAAAAATATCCCATACTAACAAATCTTTATATAATATAATTTAAAAATCTAAGGAAATGTTGTTCAACTCGTGTAATTTAAAAATTAATTTCGAAAGAATTTGAAGTTTGAATTGAATCGTAAATTGTAAGATTTAATTAAATCGTAATATTTGAATCAATTAAACTCATGTGTTTTCAATTCAAAAACAATATTCAAAGATTTGATCGATTAAGCTCAACTCATTTCAATTCGTAGACAATATTCAAATATTTGAATCGGTTAAACTCAATAATTTACAATAGCGTATTAATCAATCTGTGTATAGTTAAAGTTTAGTAACCTTTTTTTATTGAATTTTATCATAAAAAATAATAACATTTAATTGGTAAAAATAGTAAGATTTAATTGGTTCATGGTTAGATTAAATCTTACGATTTACAATCTGATTCTTACGATTTTACGAATTAAATTATTATTTTGTTGTTAAAATTGAATTAAAAGGATAGTAGACTTTAATTATAAATAGTTAACTCGATTAATACGTTCTTGTCAGTGGTTGAACTTAATCGATTCAAATTTTTGAATAATATTTACAAATTAAAAGGATTTGCGCTTAATTGATTCAAATCATACGCTTTAATTAATCTTATGATTTGATTCTTGTGTAATTTAGGAATTATTTTTTTATGATAAAATTGAATTAAAAATGTATTACACTTTAATTAATAATAGTTAATTTGATTAAGACGTTCTTGTCAATAGTTGAGCGCGCTAATGAATCGATTCAAATATTTAAATAATGTATACGAATTGAAAGGACTTGAGCTTAATTAGTTCAAATATTACGCTTTGATAAAATATTATGATTTACGATTAGGTTCTTACATGTGTTGGGAATTAAATTTATTATTTTTATGACAAAATTGAATTAAAAAGATATTAGACATTACTTATAAATAGTTAAATCAATTTTGTAACATGTTATGTCAATAGTTAAGCAACCGATTCAAATATTTGAATAATGTTTACTAATTGAAAGGGTTTGCACTTCATCGATTCAAATCTTACTAGTTGATTAAATTAAATATTAAAAGAAAATTCACAATATAGTATTTGTAGTATATAATTTTATTTTAAAGTAAGAAAACTACTAATTGGAATGAGTTATAATTTTTTCTTCTTCTAAATAAACATATTATTTTATTTTTTATTTGGATTTGCCACACTATCGATTAAATAACATAAGTGAGTTTGAATTAAGTTATGCATTTTTTTTATTTAATTGAGCATTCTTTACATTTTTAAATTGTGGATTTTATTAATACTTCTAATATTATATAATTAATGATAGATGTTTGGCGTATTGAACTGCAATTCTTTATATTTTTCAAACTTTATTTTATTAAATTTGTTAATAATTTATTTAATACCATTTAATAATAATGAATGTTGCAATTAATATTTGCATTAAGAGTATGTATACAATTATGGTTAAATATTTTATAATAAGTTAATGTGCTTGGATGATTAGAAGTGATAAATGTATTAAGAGGTCACAAGTTCGATTTTCAATGAATGCGTTTTTTTCGATTATTTATCAAATAAAACTCAGTCACAATGAAATTAAATTAATTATTTAATTAAAATATAGTAGGGGGTAAATTAGACAATTCAATGTTAATCAATTTTATATTAATTTAATAAAAAAAATAATCGAAGGATATTATGGTGATGTACTTCATTTTTTAGAACATAAGCCATGTTATTTTCCTAGGGTCCAGATTTAATCTTAGAAAATTAATGGTGATTAATGCATATCTCATAAAAGTTTAGAACATGGGGTATCTCACCCTAGAAAGACCCAATTATATATAGCATTGGAGGACTAGTTTTCTCGGGTTTAAGAATTTTGAAAATTTTCATTACTTATATATATATATATATATATATATATATATATATATATATATATATATATATATATATATCTATATATATATATATATATATATATATATATATATATATATATATATATATTCATTAATAATTTATGTATTGTCTAAAATACCCTCATTACAAATATTTAATAATTAAAAACATAAATAAAAAAAGCTCTTGCATCTCGGTGATTGTTCTTGGTAAATATTCTTTCAAACCCTATTAGAAAATAATTGATTTGCTGCCCTTCATCTGTCTGCAAATATTTTATATTGTTTACATATATTTTATATTGTTTACAGAGAAGAAGTCTGGTGCGAGACCGAGAATCCATATGTTGATAGTTGTATCAATATTATATTATTATTATTATTATTAATTCATTAATTTATTTTTAATTACTGATAATAGATTTGCTAGATGGAGAATCTGGATAATATAAACAAAGGAGTCATGAATAATACAGTTTTGACTAAAGGCAAAAGTAAGAATTCCGGGAAAATAAATCAGCAGCATAGTGAAGGGAGATCCTCTGCAAGGTGGAACGAATTTATGAATATTAAGTTTATTGAGTTATGTGAGGAAGAAATTGGAAAAGGCAATAGGCCAAACAGCCACTTCAATTCCAGTGGGTGGAAAAACTTGGTTAGAAGGTTCAATGAGGTGACGGGAAAAAATTATGTTTATAAGCAACTTCGCAATCATTGGGATTCTATGCAGAAAGATTGGATTTTGTTTAAGAAATTAATGCACCAGGAGATTGGAATTGGATGGAATCCTTTGACGAATTCAACTGAGGCTTCTGATGAGTGGTGGGCTCAAAAACTTAGAGTAATTTTCTAACACAAATCTTATACAAATTACTTATATATTTTATTAATAATATCTTAGATAACGTAGTACCTGTGATTATTGCAGGAAAATGGAGACTATAACAAGTTTAGGAACAAAGATTTATCACTAATTTGGTTTCGCTATGATAAACTATTTTCTGATATTGCTGCTACGGGAGAAAGAGCACGAGCACCAAACCAAAGAACTAATGGGGAGTTTAATGAAGTCGAAGAACATGTGGAAATTGACGATATTGATGAAATGATTATATTGGAGTAGATGAATACAATACAAATCCCGAAATGAAAGAAGAAGATGATATTGCCAAAGAAATTGTGTTTCCATCCTTTTCAACTCTCAAGAGAAAATCCATAGGAGAAAGCCATAGAGTCAAGAAACAGGTATCTGGGCAAGCTTCATTAAAGGAAGATATTCATTCTCTTCTTCAATTTATGGAAAAGAAGAGTAGTACCACTTCAACACTCTCCACAGAGATAACAATTGCAACAGCATTGAAGATGTTAAATAGCCTCTTTGGAATACCACCGTTAAGTGAACTTTGGAATTATGCTAGTAATTATATGAGCAAAAAGGATATGCGAGAAATATTTGCTAATCAACCTTCGGACGAGGCTCGGTTATGTTGGCTAGAGTATAACTTTAACGAGTATAAAAAGAATCGCTAAATGTAGTGCTTGAGAAATAATAGTTTCTTTTTTTGTTAGACTAGTCAATTGTACATTATGCACTAGATTTTTTTACTCATGTTTTTTGGTTTAGTTTTGCAATAAAATAATGATTTTCTTTATATTTGTCGTTTGAAGATTATAAGAACCTTTATAACTAAATTTATAAATATAGTTATTATATATTTTTATTGGTCTGTATGTTTGTGCTTTGTGCTGTTAATTCAATTTGTATGTTTGTGCTGTTAATTCAATTTGTGGACATAAATTTGTGTTAAGGTTTGCTATTGAGATCCTTAAATAAGAAATGGCTAGTTATTGTTTAAAGAAAACGTTTTTAATGATATATTGATCTATAATTTTTTCTTTATCTTTTTTTGGACAGTGAATGGAGCTATGGAGGTTTTTAGATTCTGCTGAAATAGATTGGTGGAATATTTCAAATTGCTCTTTGATTTTTCCAAATATTTTTGTTGACGAGGAACCTTTTGAAGATGAAAACCATCTTCAAGATGACTTTGAGTAGTTGGTTATGTGCCACATAACAACACGTAGCATCTTAACTTATTATCAGAACTACGTACACAAAATACCATGTCGAACATTTATTCGTACAGGTCATACATTTATAGAAGAGATATTAAATGGACATGAAGTGAGGTGTTATCAAGCTTTTCGTCTATCAAGATCGGTATTTATGGATTTTTGTCATTAGTTAGCCCATAAATATGATCTCCGTCCAACAAGGGGAATGTCTCTGTACAAGGAAGTTGGAAATTTTTAAGTGACTTGTGCTCATGGTGTGGATAATAGGTTATTGCAAGAGTTATTCAATCATTCATG